CGTATAGATGAATTCCATGGGAGTCTCCAACAAGTTCGACTAACAAATTTGCAAGAGAAATTATATATTTTATAATATATTTATAACAAAGTTTTTATAAAAAGAGAAAAAGTAAAAGAACTTCAAAGTCAGTCCAGTCCCGAAGGAGCTGCGTGCCTGGATTGCTGGAGTCCGTTGATTGTGCTTAGGGGGAATGGTGTAGTTGTGACTTTCTTATTGTAGAATCAAGAATCCAACGGTGAGAAGGGTTCTACTACACTTAATTTAATCTACTTCAGCGGATAGAAAACAAAAATAGAAAATGAAAAATTCATTCATTCACAGATAAACAAGCACTTTATTTGTATTTACCTTTTTCGAATAAAAAACATTTGTGATTTATGATGAAAGTTACACATAATTTATTATATCTTAAATATACTCAATTATATTTTTATTTTGCATAAGATCTAATATTAATATATATATATATATATATATATAACATTTATAACTTATTTATTAATTATTAATATTTAGTTAATGTGTGCTTTTACTTTTCGTAAAAATATTTAATTAATTTATTATTCATTAACTCAAATCTAATCTTACATGACACAAAGTGTAATCAACTAAACATTGTATGCTATTCAGATTTAACTTTTAGAAAAATAAATTAATATTTATTAATTCTTGTATAGATTTCTCCCTGCTAAAACTTATACTTTTGTTTTTCAATTTTACTTTTTAAATAACTTTTTTAAATCAAAATAATTATCTTACTAATTTTATCATTTAAATGATAATTTCTTTCCCTTTTACCTGTTTTTTAGTTTTGATTATCTTTTAAATTTAACTATTTTTTAATTAAAAAATTACTTACAAAATAAATAAAAGTTATTTACAATAAAATTATAAAAATTATTTATATTTAATCTTATACGGTCAGAACCATTTAAAACGCACCCAAAATCCCTCTGAACGGACGCCAGGTGTCAAGCGAAGAGGATCCAGAAATCAGATAGTGAAAGACAGGTGTTGGCAGATGAGCGGACGCTCGTTTTGACGTGGGAAGGAAAACTTGATTTTCAGAAATTCACGTCACACTCTCTGCATGCACCCTTCTTCCCCAGATTCTGAAAAATCTCATTTCCTCCTCTTTCTCTCTAAAAACTCTTCCTTCTATCTACGAAATCTCACCCTTTCTCTTCTCCAATCTCCGTTCAGACACCGTAGAAGCACTTCCGGCGTCAAGAGCTTCCAGATAAACCGTTCGGTTTGTGAAGCTGGGCTGGTAAGTCCTTCTCTTCACTCTGTCGTTCGTTTTCTTAGACATGCAAACCTAGTTCTGGTTTCATGTGTTGATCACCATTCTCAAAATGAGTAGTTCTGATAGTGTTGGGTTGTCACTTGGTGTAGTTGGAAAATTGTCGAGCGTTGAGGGTAGAAGAACTGGTAGTGGTGAACTATATTCTGCCTCTGTGAACGTCCGATCACGCTTAGAGGTAAGGGAAGCTTATTAATTTAATTTGTATGTTACTTGTATTGCATGAACGTTCGTTGAATTGACTGAATTAATATGAAATATGATGGTTGCTATGTTTGGATTGTATGAAGTATAGAAATTGACTATGATATGAATGTATGAAATTATGAAGATATATGTTGAGAAATAAGTTGAATATAAATAATTCTAGTATGAAATTTCCCCTATGAAAGTGTACGTTCGTCACTGAACGGTCCTTGACCGTTCGGTTTTTCTAGTGAACTTGGTTGGAATTGGATTCTTTCATTTGGAAAGAATCCTAATTGAGGACGAGCGTCTTCGTTTCGAAATACTGTGCATGAGCGTTCGGCCAAGCATAGTTGTTTCTTGGTATTCGGTTATAAACTTAAGTGTATATATATATATATGTGTGTGTGTGTGTGTATTTGTATATTTTCGTTTATTCTTAAACACTACTCCAAATGGTATCAAGCCTTCTAATATAAGTTTAGTAGTGCTCGGTCTTACACCAAGCGCTCGTACTGAGTAGTGTCGGTCCTACACCAAGCGCTCGTACTGAGTAGTGCTCAGTCTTACACCAGGCGCTCATTCTCTTTTCTTTTATAATCTATCTTGATGAAAATAGCGTTCGTCCAACTTCAATAGAGTTTTCTCTCTACCGTGCTCGGTCATTGACTGACATTCGGTTTTCTTGATTTCTAAATTCAAATAAGCTAAGTATTTATAAGCGTACGATTTCATCATGTGAATTCTTCTAAGTATTATTCTTTGAAATGTCAGTATTCATTGATTTCGGCCTAGAGTCTTAGCACTTGGAATGGCCTTTGTGGTGTTCGGTTTGAGCTCTCAAGAGTCAATTCATTTAATTGGCTCACTTTGTAAGTAATATTCGTTCTAGTCGTCCTTGTGATGTATGATTGTACTCGGTTTCTTTCTCAACCCGATAGTAACCCTCTCGGTCTTAATCTGTTCTGGAACTGGAGACCTCTCTCTCGCTCCAAGTGTTCGTTCTAGTTCTGAGTTAGGATTGAACGTTCGGTATTTGGTGTCCTTAATAATCTTTGTACGAAGGTGAAATTGAGATGATTAATAATGAAAGATGAAGAGAATATGATATGGATGAAATGTTTTGGATTATGGACGAGCGTTCCGGGGAGGAATGACTCATGAATGTATATTGGAATTGGTAAAGTATGAATGTTGGCATGCTAAGCTGACGGTTCATCCCGATGTTCCGTGATTACTCGTCCTCACATAGAGGAGGGTAAGTCATGTGTGGGAACGACAGGAGGTCCTAGTCCTTATGGTTAATTTGGACAGATAGGACTAACCTCGGGTAGCAGCTGTTGAGGGTATCCCAGTTACTACATCACCCGGGTGCACGAACGTCGTAGCTACACAGATTTCATACAGTCCGGACAGTCAGTCTAGTATTAGGCTTTGCATGAACGAATGATGAATTATCTTGTTTGATTGATTGTGTGAAATATATGTTTATACATAAATTAAATTACATAAGCTTATCCTGTGTTTCCTGTCTTGTCTGTTTTGTACGTTCGGTTGTCCTTCTGTTGCAATGATCATCCGTGTGGATGTGAGCAGAAGGAGACGAGCTGCTAGAAGAGGCGTTGGAGGAAGATATCTTAGTAGAGGTAGAAGTTAAGACCGAACAGTAGAACCGTTCGGTCAGTAGTATAGTCTGATAGTAAGGTGATCGCTCGATCACCTTTTCCCTTTTCTTTTTGCAGGACTGTTCGGTATAGTATTTTGTAAACCGTTCGGTCAGAATTGCACCCTGTACAGCTTTAAATTTCTTGTCCTTCTTTGTAAGGCCGTTCGGCCACAACCGTACGTTCTCTTTTAATGTAAGATTGATCTGTAATATTATTTAATGTGATTATTCTATGATATAGTTTTATACTGTATTTTTGGGATATTACATATACTAATAAACATTTTATCATAAAAATCAAATAAAAATTTAGTGATTTTTTTTAACATTATTATAATATTCACAATTTTATTTTATTTAATATTAAAAAATAAATTACATAATTGTATATATAAAAGTTATAATATAATTTGCTATTATATCTTAATAAATATAAATATATTATCAATAAATACACTCATAAAATACCCTTCAAAAGTATATTCTTTTATATATGTGATGTGAGCAATCAGGAATAACATCATAACATATAATAAAACAGCATAAAACACAAACTATAACTAGTCATGGCAACATACTCCACTCATAAATAATATCACAACCAATCCATTCATCAATCAGTGTCGTTTCCTTACACTTTATCATCCCAACCTGTTACGCAATCAGAATCGTCTTCCATCGCAATTTCAGACCTATCTCCCCGACTTTTCAAGGAAGCCTTTTGGGCGAGACATCCACTTCCTTGCTCAAAAAGAAGTGACACTCGAATCTCGTCTCTACAAGAGACCCAATCTATTTCTCGTATCGCAATACAAAAAATCTCACATCCGATGACAATTACAAAACTTATTTTTATATCACAATCTCACACTTATTCTCAATAACAACATTAATCAATTCAAAACAGTTAATTTTAAAACACCAAACTAAGCACTATTTTCAATTAACGAAGCCGATCTATTTCTTGAAATAATTAATTACAAGTAAGCCCCACATAGGTCCACCAAATCGACCCAAGCATCCATGCATATGCTCTTAAACGTAACAAGCCCGCACCTGCTTTACACTAAAAATCATCCTTAAAAAATAAAACCTGATTCCATCCCCAATTTAATTTTAATACTAATAAGCATATAATAAAACATATCAACAGAGTCATCTTTCTAAACCACACGCATAATATACAATGAAAATAAAGTGATAGAAACCTCTAACACAAAATATAGTGAACTTCCTTCTCTATCATTATAACCATGGTCCCCATAAATTCTCTCATCGACTTTCTTTAAATTCCAAAATCAAAATCAAAAGCGAAACTTCCTGTACCAATGAAAAAAATAAGCCAAACTTTCTCTCTTCTATTTCTCCACTACAACGTTGGACCCGCGCCCCTCATTCAATATTGTATGATTCTTCCTTTCTCATACTTCATTCTATTGTGTCGTATAAGTAGAAGTCGATTGTCCTGTAGTTTAATTCACAGAAGTATTTCTGCTTCCAATGCTTCTTTTCAGTTCTTTAGCCAAGTCCATTTTTCATACTAACACGTTTTCATGCATTGCAATTCGAAACTCGAGAATCTTTTCATTCACCACTGCCACCAATGGTTTTCCTTCTACTTCATCTATCTCCACAAATCCTTTCACCATCATTAAATCACACAAGCATATACTCTTCTACTACCTCAATAATCGAACTTTAGACCAAGCTCGTGCCTTTTTCGATCAAATCCCTTCCCCCCATGTTTCCCTCTACACCATAATGCTCCATGCTTACGCTAGCAACCACAGACTCCACGAAGCTATCCACCTCTTTCGTCAAATTCCCTTCAAGGACGTCGTTTCCTGGAACTCCATGATTAAGGGGTGTCTACATTGCGGCGATATTGTCACCGCCAGGAAGTTGTTCGACGAAATGCCGCACCGAACCGTTGTGTCGTGGACCACCCTCGTCGATGGGTTACTGCGCTTTGGAGTTGTCGAGGAGGCTGAAGCCTTGTTCTGGGCAATGGACCCTATGGACAGGGATGTGGCTGCGTGGAATGCAATGATTCATGGGTATTGTGGTAATGGTAGAGTTGATGATGCTTTGCGATTGTTCCGCCAAATGCCTTCTAAGGATGTGATTTCTTGGAGTTCTATCATTGCTGGGCTTGATCACAATGGAGAGAGTGAACAAGCATTGGTTGTTTTTCGCGACATGGTGGCTTCTGGTGTGTGTCCATCTTCTGTTGGCTTGGTTTGTGGGCTGTCTGCTGCTGCTAAGATACTGGCTTTTCACGTGGGGATTCAAATTCATTGCTCTGCGCTCAAGCTGGGTGACTGGCGTTTTGATGAATTTGTTTCTGCTTCACTGGTTACGTTTTATAGTTGTTGCAAACAGATAGAATCTGCGTGCTGGGTTTTTTGTGAGGCACTTTGTAAGAATGTGGTGGTTTGGACAGCTCTATTGACGGGGTATGGTTTCAATGATAAGCATCTA